TTTGAATTTGAAGTTCTCCCAATCCTTTCCAAATATTTTAGGTGTCTAATTATTTATCTATCTCCCGTAAACGGGTTCATGATCGTCTTTATTTTATATCTTCACACAAGGCCTGGGGCCTTCCTTATTCGGTATGTATATGTTATCGCATGGTTGCAAGGGCCTTATGGCATATTATTGCCCCGAGAGGTTAGCCCGAGGGCCGTAGGCCCGAGGGCTAACCTCGAGGGGCAATAATATGCCATAAGGCCCGCAGCAACCATGCGATAACAAATTTATCACATGGCCCACAGAGCAGACCATTGGGCTGCTGTTGAAATTAGCCCAAATGCCAACACATTATGACCACAATGTATATTGATGTGCTATCATTATCAAAACAGGAAAAATGAAGATATTTCTCCTACACCCTAACAAAAAGTCTGCTACAGGCCATCAGAGAGTATACAGTACTGAAAGACGGAGACAGAAAAAAAGTGCCGGCACCGCATCGTCATAGCAATAGACATGGCAACGACAATAAAATACAGCAGAATCATAATTTCTAACTGGTTTGAGGGAAATCATAATTTCAGTTGAAAAATTAAGAGTGCTACCACAAAGAGTTTCTTCATGTTTACATGTGTATCAGGAAGTTGTCAAATACAGTACTGCAACAAGTGCAAGTATTTGACGACTCCCTGGTGTGTAATTCTGAGGACAATTTTTCTTCTTTTTTTTCAGCTCCAGATAGCTGTATTTTTCATTGCAAAACATTCCTGAATTGTTGTGTTTGTTGTTCAAGCAAAGGTGAAGGCAGAGGACAGATGAGCCTGGTAAGAGTTTTGCGTGGCACATGAAGACCACACACAGGCAGTGACTTTGCGAGGATATGAAAACGCACGACGCTGAGTTGAATTTGTGTTATTTCAAATAATTGTTTGTGATCACAGTACCACTTCGAGCAGAACTGAATCTTATCCACAAGCTTACCGACGGTCAGGCTGCCAACATGACTGAACAAATGATCCCTGCAAGCACCACGCGGCAGACGTCCGAGGCCATGTCCATTGCCGGGATGTCCATCTCCAAAAAGAATTCCATCTTCGTCTCAATGCTACACTGCGACTCGTAGAGTCGTACAGAGTAGTCACGCGATCACTGAAATAAACTATTTTTTTGCGGGCAAATAAACTATTTTTTTGCGGGCAATATCGCATATTATTGCCCGCGGCGCGAAAGGTGCTGATTCGCTGGAGTACGGGCAACAATCACGTGCCATGTGATAAACGCTGTTATTTCCCCACATGGCTCCCGCTCTTTATGCAACAGTTCGTACAGATATTTACTACGGTTTGATACGCTATTGCATGCGGGACCAGCAATCTCGTGGCCATGGACTTCCATGGCCGCAACTAGATACTATTGCCATCACCTTCCTTTTCTCTCTCTCTCTTGCCTTCCTTCCGCCTTCAGGCGGAAGCTTCGGCTTTCGTCTGTCTTGCCTTGTGCTCTCAATATCGTCTATTGAACTAAGTTAGCTCCTTTCAAGATGTGAGTCAACCTGAACGCTGGTGTGAGTGTACGTGTCGGTATATGCCTGCGTGTGTGTGAGAGAGTATGTCTAGGTATATGTGCGTGCGTGCGTAAGAGTAATTCTGTTGGTGGACTCTCTCCAAGTGGCCACCACTGCACGGCCTTGTAATGTGAAGGTTTAGTAAGTAAGTTAGTTCATATCGACGACCACAGCCTTGGGGTCTAACCCCGGGGCCGACCGGATACGACACTGACATGATGTGGGCAGGGGCTACGATTGTGTATTGTATACTGATGTATTATGATTGTGTTGTGCCAGTCTTTGTCACTTACAGTGACCTGTAGAATATGATGGGGACAGTGACTGTGTGACTTGCAATGGGAGTGCTTGCAGGCAGGCTTGGAGCTGCAATGTTTTCTGTGCGTATATCAGAGCATGGATGCTTGCAGTTTGGATATGGCGGTATGAATGTTGGTTGTGATTATCGGAGCATGAATGTTAGATGTACAGTGGCGTGTGCATTGGAGCAGAAATGATGACTGTGTATCGGAGCATAATATATAATACACAGTTGTCTAACATCATGCTGTCTGATGAGTGCTTATACAATGTATAAGCTACTTTACTAATAATATGTTGACTGGGGCTAGAAGAGCTTGATTGTCGACTGCGCAGTTCTGTAGCAAGAATTCTGCCTGTGTGTAACTACCTATATGTACTTGTAGGAGAATGACGGTTGACTTCACAGTTTGGGAGTATGAATATTGGGTGTGCAGAATGGTAGCATGATTGTCAGCTGGGGAGTTTCAGTGCATGAATGCTGACCTTTGGTATTAGAGCATGACTGTTTGTAGATGCAGGAATTATGAGCATGAAGGCTTGCTGTTGGTCTTGGACACACTGACCTGAATACCTGCAGCATGAGTGATGGTTGATGATGATCGTAATGACCAGCTGTTGCTTAGCAACTGATTGTATTGGTTAACATGACTACATAGTGCAGTGCTGGTGACTAGGGTAGTGAGTGATGGAGAGGTTGATGGTGTAGTTGTCATGGTATTGACTAGACAGTTCATAGCATACCTATCAGATGATCTGACGTGTGCACAGCACATAATTACACCTTGTAACTTAATGAGACCCCGATGACGCAGGGCAGACTGGGCAGTGCATGCTTTCAGGTAGCACACTGGTCGTAAATTTAATATGGCATTCAATTGACCGTAACTTTGGTGTCTCTCATTGGATTTGAGTGAAATTTGCACCACACACTCCTGCCAGTATGCTGGCCCTCCGGACATGATTTAAAAGTTCTTGCGCCTCACTGACAGGTTTTCCAGGCCGGATAACTCAGAATTCCGGCATAGTGCCATGGTGTGCGAGCCACCCAGGAGCCAAAAAAATGCATTTACAATTTTTTCACATTTTCTTGCTCATTCTGTCCGTGCGCGGGATTCAAACCTAAAAGAAGTCCAGAAGCAGCCATCGGTGGTGGGATAGGGCCCCTCAACATGGCCCTGGAATCTGTAACAACGGCACGAGTGGGTGTTATCTCACACCCTCCCACAGACCGAAGTCAATTTTTGAATTTTTTTAGGTTTAGCACGTGCGACGAGGTCGTACCTTTGATACAACATCCAGTGCTGGGACCTCCACAGCAAGCCATTTCCACAGTGCTGCACACTAAATCCAGGATACCCTCCAAAATCGGCAAAGACTACCACTCACGTTCCACTACTGCCTAGTACTGAATCCTACCTGACTTCTTGACACGACTCAAAATTGCCAAAGTCACTAAAACAATAATCAAGCCACATACAGTATCTGCAACGTCACGAGGGTGCTGGCATGGGCAGGTACTAGGTAATGCTAGCATTATGGCTGGCATTATAGTCCCTTTTTTCCAGGTGGCATAATGCTGGCATTAAAACACCATTTCGCATGCAAAATTGGCATTACAAGCATAATTGCCGGTCGACAATGGTGTCATGCATGAAGCTGGCTAGGTCCAGTTCCGAAAATCGTGCATCTGAACCCGTCCGGGGACTTGACGTTGCAAATCAACCTTCTCAGTGGATTGTTTCAGACAACATGCTCACTGCTGTTTAAGTTTTTTCTTTTTCTACGCTTTGGCCTTGATCCAAGACGGCCTTCTTAAACCGACTTTTCCAACTTTCAAACTGGCATTTTGGAGCAGTGTGAGCATTATGGGGCATTATATCCTCATATTATGAGCATTGCCTTTAGCATTATCGCAGCAAATAACTAGCATCACCCACCCATGCCTACCAAGAACAGAAACATTGGCAAAACTAATTCGCAGTTACCCTTTGGTGTGGCATCATCGATTTAGTATGGACACCACCCGATTGCTTGACGTGAAAGGTAGCGAGGTACGCGGACATCTCTTAACACGTGAAACGAAAAGATTTGGCGGGTAGTGAGCAAAAAAATAAGTGACGGTCCCTTAGTCCTAGTACCCTTGGTAACGCTGGTAACCCTGGTCTACGTCATTGTATCAGATTCTCTTGTCATTGTACGTGTGATGTACATGTAAATCCATCTCGAGCCTAGTATCAGTATCAGATGCTAGGCTGAAAATGGAGGTAAGGGGCAGCATGCAGTGAACATGGCTGCAACAGACACAGGGGCCAGAGAAGAGTACAGCAATGATAGCTGGGAACATCAACAATGACGTCACACAGTGATTGAGTGTTTTTAAAATAGTAAATCGTTGCAATTAGAATTGGAGGTGGATGGGTGAAGACATGGTGGTGATAACAGCAGTCTCAGCTGCTGGGACACCCAAGGGAGGTGGATGGGTGAAGACATGGTGGTGATAACAGCAGTCTCAGCTGCTGGGATACCAAAGGGAGGTGGATGGGTGAAGACATGGTGGTGATAACAGCAGTCTCAGCTGCTGGGACACCAAAGGGAGGTGGATGGGTGAAGACATGGTGGTGATAACAGCAGTCTCAGCTGCTGGGACACCAAAGGGAGGTGGATGGGTGAAGACATGGTGGTGATAACAGCAGTCTCAGCTGCTGGGACACCAAAGGGAGGTGGATGGGTGAAGACATGGTGGTCATAACAGCAGTCTCAGCTGCTGGGACACCAAAGGGAGGTGGATGGGTGAAGACATGGTGGTGATAACAGCAGTCTCAGCTGCTGGGACACCAAAGGGAGGTGGATGGGTGAAAACATGGTGGTGATAACAGCAGTCTCAGCTGCTAGGACACCAAAGGGAGGTGGATGGGTGAAGACATGGTGGTGATAACAGCAGTCTCAGCTGCTGGGACACCAAAGGGAGGTGGATGGGTGAAGACATGGTGGTGATAACAGCAGTCTCAGCTGCTGGGACACCAAAGGGAGGTGGATGGGTGAAGACATGGTGGTGATAACAGCAGTCTCAGCTGCTGGGACACCAAAGGGAGGTGGTCAACAATTTAAACAAACAAAACATACTCAAATCTCAGACAGCCAGCTGTTTCCACCTTGTTATATCTCATCAGCAGTGAGTCGATGACAGCAAAAAGAGTAAGGCAATGTCCTTTGTATTTACTAGCATAGAACCGAGAAATTACCAGCCTATTTCAACGCATTAACCCCATTCTGCTACTAAGTTCTGGTAAGATCCTCAGTCTTGAATTTGGATACATAATCAAGTCTGCAAAGATATAGGTTGGCTTCTATGAAATCAATGTGGATTGGCTCAACGCACAGAGACATGGTGATCTCAATATCGTTAGTCAAGTTTCAGTAAAGGCTAACGCAAGCGTATCTTGAAATTCATATTCTTATTACATTAGTGGCGGGAATGAGAGGAGCTTCAAAAACTTCCCTGATTGTCTGCCTTGTATTGAAAAGTGAAAGTTTATTATTTTCAAAATTTACTAACTGCAATTTAAAGTAAATAGCATGTGAGTTTCAAGTGTACTTCAAGACATTAGAAACATTACTGCTATGTGTAAATTCATGATGAAGGAAAATGACACAGGCTGATCACAGCAACACAGGCCAACTGGCAATGAAAACACACAGCGCCCATGATGCCTAGGACGAACGCTCTGGTCACAAGAAGACATCAGGCTCCACGACGCTGACCGGAGGGCGGCCAGGCTGCTAATCTGATCCGGCCGAGGCACTGAGCTGCTGGGGGTCGGAGAGCAGACGCTTGCCCCCCCCCCCCCCCCCCCCTGCCATCTCTGGACAAGGCCTCATCTCCTGCTTATTGTTTCAAGTACTTGGCATTCCTGGCAAACAAACACAATACAGGTCAAACAACGGCAGAGTGAACATACAGTTGATCATATTTACCATTAATGGATCTTTATACACAAGTGGTCTTAAGGCCGCCACGATCACACCGAAACAAGCCACTTTGGGCTTGTTATCGCTGGCGCTCAGCTGGCTTGTGTGCTCCCTGTCGAGCGGTCACACCAGACATCGAGTGCAAAGCTTGAATGGCTTGTTTTTTTGCCCGCCAAATTTTGATATCTCGAAACGCACCAACGTTCTCAAGGAATCGGAAAGCAGAACAGTGGTGATCTACAAGTTGTGTTCAGTTTTCATGAAGAAGTAAAAATCTACAACAAGCCTTGAAGGAAAAGAAGCCCGGATCCTGAATTGCGACTTCGTGCTCTTTTTATTTGTTCGGTATGCCTGGACGCCCCATGCCCATCGTTCGGGTGACGGTGTTTCCTGATGTTGAGCTTTCTGCTCCGCCGGTTGCTGTTCTTCAACTCCGCTGCAATCCACTCTCTTCTTCGTACCTTTCTTCATGAATTCAGGCGTGAGTTTGGTGCCTTTTCTCGGCCTTGAACCACAGCTCCAACAATCTACGCTCTAGAGGCACAGTCCAGGGATTCATGGTCGTTGGAGAAGATCAAAATCAAACTGAACTGTTGTATAGACACTGTCAAAACCAAAGCTAAGGCGAAGGCATACATGTAGCACGGAAACAAGAAAGAACATCGATATCAGTTCCTAGATCCTCGCCTCATCGACATCGGCTCATCGGATTATGTTCACTACAAGTCACAGTGTGTTCCAAGCGCACTCAACTTTTTTTGGAATTTCCGCTTGTACAAGCTGTGGCTGAAACAAGCAGAGAAAACGGCCGAGAGTCAGCCACGGCTGAAAGTCGCTTGTAGGAACATTTTCAGCCATTTCCATGGTAATCGTGACGTAAACAAGCGCTTTTTCGGCTGAATGGCTGAATCGAGCTCGGTGTGACCGCGGCCTTAGACACAGGTACCCTTTAAACCCAAATGGTCGTGCTACACAGGTGGTTGTCACCCAGGTGGTCATGATAAATACATGTACATGTGTAAGTGGTCTTACCACACGGATGATCTTTATTCAAAGGGGGTCTTAAAACAGGTGGTCTTAGCACAGTTGGTCTATACAGGATCCTAAAAACAGGTGGTCTTAGCACACAGGTGGTCTTTGTACACAAGTGGTCTTTATAGTATATACATAGGTGATCTTTATAAATATGTTAGGTACCTCCTCCCGTACCTTTTCTAGCTGGCCTGCATGCACTCGCGTACTCACCTTTTGTCTCCTTTTGTTCCGTTGGCCTGGGTAGCTACTTGCGCACCCATAATTGCCATAGCTACCCAGGCCCTTTATCTTGCCGTTCAGGCTTGATCTCTTCCTCTCTCTTTTCCCACTCTTCACTAATCACCATCATATGTTATACATAGGTGTTATTTATACACAGGTGTGCTGAAACCATGGTAACATGATCTGATGCCTCAACCTTCTTCCACTGAAAATCACTAAACTATCCCCCCCCCCCCCCACACACACACGCACACCCCCCCCCCCCCCCCACACACACACATGCACACACACACACACACACACACACACACACACACACACACACACACACACACACACACACACACACACACACACACACACACATGCACGCACACGCACACACACACACACACACACACACACACACACACTTGGTCCTGGTCCTGGTATACACTGCCATGTAGGTCACACACACACACACACACACACACACACACACACACACACACACACACACACACACACACACACACACACACACACACACACACACACACACACACACACACACACACACACACACACACACACACACACACACACACACACACACACACACACACACACACACACACACACACACACACACACACACACACACACACACACACACACACACACACACACACACACACACACACACACACACACACACACACACACACACACACACACACACACACACACACACACACACACACACACACACACACACACACACACACACACACACACACACACACACACACTCAGCCTGCAACTCACTTGATTGCCGTGAAAAGATGGCGCCGGCTATGCTTGGCATTATCAGCCAGCAGGTTAAACAGCTCTTGGACGGTTGTGCTCGGACGTTGCATCAGATACAGCAGGATACAGAAGAGGTTGTTCTCTCCTTTGCCTGGGCCTCCGATGTTGCCTTTATTCATTTCGTGAAACGACTTCAGCACGTTGCGGTAGTAGTTTGTGTATTCTGGAGCCACTAGCTGCACAGCCGCCTTACCGCAGTTTGCTACAACATCACCAGAAGAAAGGGCAGAAAAGAACAATGACACTGTTTTTGATCTGCTGACTTTTCGCACTTCTAGCCTGATGTTTATCTCCCTCACTTCTTTGCCCATAGAATTGCTGTCTTAGTTATTTTTGCTTTAGGGAGCATCTCATAAGTTCGCATTTTGTTTCTAAACGTAACGCATTTCGAAACGGGGGTAGCACCCTTTTCGAATAGAAAAATGACTGTTCGCACATTTTCTGGAACTGTACAATCTACTACCGTGCTAGATCCCTGCAGCAAATGAGTGTGTTTAGGTGGAGATCTACCTGTGTTTGCAGATCAGCTAACCCTGGCACTGCATGCATGCAGGCTACTCAGAGGTGTCAAATGTCACACCAGCCTGATCAAACCGTGTACATGTACATGTTGTACCTGGCCAGCGTTTACAGCTACAGCAGTACAGTTGTTGTGGAGGAACTATGTTTATGTGCGTGTACATGTCATTGATTGTACTTGTACTCAGTAAACATGGTAAATGCGGTACTACTGTATGCCATTCATGACCGCTCTAGCAAAACATTCATATCCATGTACATGTACATAAGCATACCATAGCATGGGGCCGCATGGACGTGTACAGTAGATAAACACAGAAAATGTGCGATAAGACTTTCGAATAGAGGGGGGAGGTAGGGGGGTAAAGTCTATTCGAAATGCGTTACGTTTGCAAAATAAATGCGAACTTATGAGATGCTCCCTTACTCCATGTAAGAGACCATGAAGAGAAGGGAACGAAAACGTTCGTTTCTAAAATTCCCTAGTGTTCATTTGGACCGGGGGTGTGGATTGTGTGGATGCATGTGCTACACTGAAGAACAATGAGCTTCATTTAACACGAAAGCGTGGTAGCGACCTTGGTGATAATCGTATAAGAAAGTTAGTTGCTCCCACACTGAAACAGTCAACCGTGAGTCAGTCAAGTGTCAAGTCAGGTCGACGGGAATAGCGCTAGTTGCAGTGTGGGAGCAACCAACTTTCTTACAGCTTCATTACGTAAACATAATTATAAGATTGCGCAGGTGTGCTTAGCCGTTCCCCAGTCATGATCGGCAGAGGTAGAACACCAGTGCACACAACAAGTTGACAACAAACCGCATCAAGCAGTGGAGTCGACTTGGTTATGTATGCCCATTGCAGCTGATGCTGCACTTGATGGGTTGCCAAGGCAACCGTGGCAGTAAAAACAAAACAAAAAAATGTACTCAGGAGACAGTACCACTTTTAGGGGACATGACTTCAATAAGAACACTGGTTAAAATACAATGTACAAGGACATCACCTCCTCATCAAAGTCTACACATACACATGCATACAGTGACAAGAGGGTATTGAAAAACAATTCAACCAGCTCAGGGGCACTCACTGGCTCTGAAGATATTTTCACCTGGTTGAACCACACAATTAGGTTGCGTTTGGTTGGGCATTTTCAGAATGTAAATGACAACCATTCTGGAATGGGAATCGGCAAGAATCACCTGACCAAACTAACGCGCCAGAATCAATTAGGAATCACTTGACATAACAATTCCATGATGTCGTTGTGGAACGGCGGCTGTCTTTTCTTTTACCCGACTCTAGTTTCCTTGAGAGAGTCATGGTACTTCTGAGTGCATGATTCGAGGCACTTGAACCTGTTGCTACATTGTTTGGCTTGTGGCAGCCATTATCATTTTTGATTCCGGAATGAGAATGCTCATTCCAGCATGTGAGGTGGAATGATCATTCTCCAAAAAGAATCATTCTCAGCGATTCCCATTCTGGAATCATGTGGAATGTGACCAACCTAACGCACTTTTTTGACCAACCAAACGGGCGAGAATGATTCCGAGTGATTCCTAGTGATTCCCATTTGGGAATGTGACCAACCAAACGTAACCTCAGTATACCGAGAATGTTCAAATACAAAGGAAATTTAGGCCACCAGCCTCACGCTCATTTTCTCCAAAATTCGCCCGCAATCGAACGGCTCCTACACTCCCAGAGAATAAGGTTGACTCCAGAACTACTTCAAACCACGTTTACTCATAATTCGCTACATACACACGGCTAAAACTCTGCCATGTCCTTGCTGTAGAAAATATATTCACCACCCGGCATTATTGAAATACACATGAATCACGGTGTCCAAAAGCAACCAACCTCTCTCGTCGCCTTCCTCCTCTCCACCGATGAACGGTTCAATCGAGCTAACAAACGCATGCCAGTCGGCAATTTGATCAAGTGTCTTTCCACTGCAGCGCAGTATACAGAACAAAACAGCACAAAACAAAACGAAAAAACTAGAAACAGGTCTACGTTCTATGTAGGGTCGTAACAGAAGAGCCTCCCTCGGTGGACAGTAGAGCCCCTCCATCCAGTGGACACGGTAGAGTCCCCCCCACACAGAACAAAACAGCACAAAACAAAACGAAAAAACTAGAAACAGGTCCACGTTCTATGTAGGGTCGTAACAGAAGAGCCTCCCTCGGTGGACAGTAGAGCCCCTCCATCCAGTGGACACGGTAGAGTCCCCCCCCCCCCCACTCATTGGACAGTATGCCCCCCCCCCCCCCCCGTGGACAGTGCCTGCCCCCCCCCCCCCCCAAGGTCACAGTGCCTGCCCCCCCCTCGCCCCCGGGGACAGTAGAATCCCACCTCGGTGGACAGTAGAGCCTTGAAATGCGATGCAGCATTATGTGATCAAAAAGACCCCCTCACTAAATGTACAGGCTTCCAGTGTTTCCATTACCCCGAACGCTTCGTTAATGAAAGCGGCTGATTGGTCAGCTCCAAGGCAACGTATTTGACCTCTTTATAAACCTGCGAGGAAAGCCTTCACTAACCCAATGGCACCAAGTGACATTAATTCAGAGTCCTGAACACCGCTTCCATCAGCGCTGTGATGACCGCTTCCTGGAGCACCGTGACCACCGCTTCTATTGCCCACACTGGCACAGGCTTCTGCTGCAAGGAAACAGACGGCATGCCATTGGAGTGGCCAAGAGACATGCACACGCACACACACACACACACACACACACACACACACACACACACACACACACACACACATGCAGATGCAACGTATACATGTACACACACAGGTGGGCACGCACACACGGTTTGTTGCAGAAGTTTATTGTCGCCACTGAAACGAACGTGGTTCATTTCGTACTCAGACGGACCCCTCACTCCTCCAAAATGAACACAGTTTGCAATGCTGGACACCACAAATCAAGTGCATGTACACGTAGTGCATTGTTGAGCAAGTTACGATTTTCGACCTCCCACCCTCCTCCTCCTCTGCCACGGACGATGTTCGCTTCAGGGCGACAAAATATGACAGCGACCCCATAGCAATTCTATGACAATGTAATGTCAGTTGTCCAGGGCCCAAAACAGAGTCAGAACTGCAGTGTTGGCTGGGATCAAACACCAGCTTGCGGTGAGAAGAGGCTCAAATTTTACATTCTATCCACAGCAGATATGGTCCTGTGCTCATGCCGTGTTCAATACCCGAACGGGAATAGGTAACTCAAAACGAAAATAGAACAGCGTACCGGTTTCCTTGCGACTAAAGGTTCACACGAATGCGGCCATCATGCAAAACATCATTTGGAAGTACCAGATCTGTTTGTATTGTGCATCCAACTAACCTGAAGGAAGAGAGGCCGATCTCGGGTCAAACAGCTTTCCACATGCATCCTGCAGGTATTGCAAGAGACCAAGTACACGCAAGCACATGCCCACGCCCACACGCACACACACGCAGACGCCCGCACACACACACGCCCACCCGCAAGCACACACCCGCACGCGCACACACCACACACACACAAGTACATGTAAATACACACGAGCAAAAGCACACATGCATGCAAACACGCACACGCACAAGCCATAATCGCTGAAGTCAGAGTAGGCTCAAAATGGTTATCTCCTCATTAACATGACGGGAATATGTGGCAAGTTTTAAGAAAATAGAGACATGGTGCAACTTTGTGTGTGAAGAACTCTCGTCCTAAACAGAGATAAACAGAATTACAACAAGGCCTAGTGGAACTTGTCTCATGGTTCGTGCCCCCCCCCCCCCCCCAAAAACATATGAAGTAAAGCTAGGGGCAGGCGCTACTAACGTAACGTTTATTGCATAGCTGCGGGAATTCAATCAGGTCAAGTTTCTAACCTGGTCAAGGCCCAGCCAGAACATGGCCTGCTCACGGATCATCTGTATATCCGGATTTGAACGTGTACACAGTGGGTAGTCTTCAGCCACTAGGGTGGAAGCGTCCAAGGCGTGCGCACAGCTTGGCGCGCGGCACGTAGATAAGCCATGCTGTAAACACTCCTCGCCCGATGTTTCTCCGCAGGGGCATGGCAATGTGCTGATCACTTCGACCTGCAGGCCCCACTTCCGTACCACTGTGAGCACGATTGCCCGGACTTCATCCAGCGTAGACTTTCCGCTACCGCCGTGTCGGCCCTTGCACTCGACGTACACTTGTAAGCCGTAGCGTGTATAGTGCAGGTGCAGCCACGGCCAATCTCTGTTCCAGCGAAGGCGAACGCTGCACCGTGACAGTGTGGCAGCCGAGCGCTTGTGTGACTTAAGCAGCACCTCCACCACGCATTGCCAATACAGGAACACGGGAAAGTGCATCAACTCATCTCGGTTTGTGTGCTTCACGGACACATAGGCACAGGAACAAGGCGTTTGCGGGTCCGTGCCCATCTCCAGGACGACTGCAGGTACAATAAACTCGTGCTCAGCAGACCTCTCATCCTGCACAATTACCAGGACTGAGAGCCATTCTAGGATTTCAAAAATGAGCTTGAACCCATCACTGCTTGCTCTGACTGCTTGCCACGCCTTAGCATGGTCGCAGTAAGACTGACCCTCGAACATCTTGTTGAGAGCTTTGCGTGCCAGGGACTCCGTCATGAACCCAGAACGATAGCACCGCGCTTCGTGCACTGTGATGTCTCGGTCAGGCTTCATGTAGACAAAGGCATTGACACAGTCCAGGATGAACTGGGGCTCCAGGATGACCGTGTCTTTCAGCTTGAAAGTTGGGAAGTACGCCAGGTGGCCTGCTTCGTGGCAGTACTTCAGCAGCAGCTGTATTTGCCGGTCACTGCAGTCATGTGGAACAGCCTTGACTTGCTTCGCTATGAACTTTGCCTCCTTCAAGGAAATCCAAGGCCAAGTGACCTCCTGCTTGAGCGTGTGTATGGATATGCAGAATCGGAGCCATGGAACAGGGATGTTACGTTGGCTCTTCTGGCAGCGGTCGATGATGGCCTCTCTCAATCGCTGCAGCTCATCTGCTTGTCCTGCACTTCCAGTGGATCTGGTGTTGTCGATTTTGAAGTGCGAAGTGTCGTTCCAGACAAGGTTCTGGTACCGCGTACCTTTTATCTTCTCTTGAAGTAGCTTACAAGGATCAGGCAAATCGGTTTTGTTCCACCTGTCACTCTGACACCCCACTACAAACACATCATCTGCAGCATGCTGCTGTCAGCTTTCGCATTCAGCAGCAGCATGTCGAGCCAGCCGAGCAGCTGGTCTAGGCGAGTCGCATTGGCCGGTAGAGTGGCCCGCTCGATACATTCTTCCCGGCTGACCTGAAATTCATCAAGCTTGGGAAGGGTCTCTAGAAGGTCCAGAGAAGAGTTGTATGTGGCAATGAAGTTTGTGTTTTTGGCCATGAAGAGGGGCTGCACGGATTGGTAGACTTGCTGCCCTCCAAGGTCGCGGAATGTGATGACGGTATAGTTGGGCGTGCTGGCCCGGTCAGAGATGTACTTTACCCGGTCTGCGTTGAGAAATCCTGTGATGGTCTCGTGGATTTCCTCGCGCATTGCTGGCCCGTTGCTGCTGCTTCTGCTGCTGCTGCTGTCCTCCATAGGTCCTGCATGGGTCCCAGCCACAGGATCCTCTCCTGCTGGGGCTCTCTCTCTGTCATCTTGTGTTGTCTCTTTGTCTTGGGGATGATTCGAAGTGGATGGTTTGCACATCATGGTGATGACGTAGAGTCGACTCAGAGCATCTGGCATGTCTGGGCATTCGATGAATCGACAGTCATCAGAGATGTTTGTAGTTGCGTAGGACGTGCGCATGCCGGGTGTGCTGAGTTCATTCTCATTGTGCATCTTCTCAAGCAACGCCTTCAGCAAGCTGGTCTTTCCAACTCGTGCCGCTCCAAGTATGACCACGTGCAGGAAATGGATGACGGTCGTACCGCCCAACCGGGCTGCCTCCTGCTCTGCTGCTTCGAGTTCACTGATACTTGGCAGAACAGCAGTATCTCCTGGGCACAACGATAAACACAGCACACATCAAAAATGTTGTGTAACTGCAGGTGACATTTACAGGGGCGGATCCAGAGATCTCTACAGGGGGTTCCGGTTGAACCAAAATTGAACAACCAAAATATTAGGGCTGAAACGAATGCTCAATGAAGCGAACGAATATTCTTTTTCCGAATACATGCGAAACGAAGAATATTCCGAATATTCTAAACCGTGCAATTTCCATGGATACCTAGTTTTATCCATGGTAACCATATAACCATAGACCATTAATTGGCATACACCCCAATTACAAGAGAGACATTTGAAAAATCATGTGTCTTGCTGATTATAGCACATCGAAAAAGGCAAGCCTACTTATATTTTGCACCAAATAACCTTGATCGATGTCAAAAAGGCGAGTTTCTGTACAATATTCCTATTCTACTTTAACGAAGATTATTCTTTTTCCGCTTTGCATATTTCGAATATTCGAATAATTCGAATATTCCTTTCAGCCCTACAAAATATTATGGAATCAGATTGTTTTGAAGTTGTGCGGTTGCCAGTAAGTTGTAATTACGACAATCCGATTGTGTTAGTGGGAATCGCATGCTTTTAAACACACACTACGGACATACTTAGTACCGTAAAGTACCGCCAGAGCACCCCGTCTACCACACACCGCTGGAAACTGAGTCGGAGCGCAGTTGTGGTGCGGTGGACGATGGAAAACCTGTGCAGGGCCAAATGCTGCTGCTTACCCTACATTGTATATTTTTTAGTACGGACACATAATCATATACATGTATGCAATCGACTGGCACAGCGGTTCAGTGAGGGCTTGAAGACCCTTTCAACTTCTTGTAAAGATCGAATATGCAAGCCATGGGTACGTTGAGAGCCAGGAATGCCGAAATGACAACTATAAGTTACTTTCCCTGTCCATTTGTACTTTCGGAAATTTTTGGCATTTTACGATGCGAAATGCTCTATAGTCACAGGACAAGAGCATCGTCTTCACTTCAGTGACAGAAACAACAACAGCGAAACAGTGTCGACAATAATTATTGTACAATCCTTTCAATGTCATCTAAAACACATCGCTGGCGCAGCACTCCGTTCCTGCGGAGGAACAACTAGTCACTACTGCATGCTGCAGCAGGTAGAGATTACTGACTTTGCTTGGATGTCGGAGCCCTCATCTTCTGAGGAGCTTGAACTCTACGTGTACGGTTCGAAGATCGTTGAAGAGTTTCAGTACTCGGAACATCTTTTCTCTTCTGCAAAAAACTTGTCCAAGGAATACTGACCACACCACACCCATCCCGAGCAGCAGTGAATGACAGCGCCAATGGAGGCAAGTAATTAGTTTGGATCGTTTCGAAAGATCAAAAAGGAAACAGCCACCCAATGTTGTCTACACAACAGTGTCCGTTTGTAAATCACGGACGTGAACACCAGTACAGACTACTATCCGTACAGACTGTCAGTATCGATCTACCGCACGCGCTCCTTGACTCAGTGACTGCACTGACTGTGAATCTGATCGGACGGACGTCCTTTTGTGCACAATGATATTTTTCGATATTTCTCAGCCGCACACTTTGCAAAATTTAGGGGGTTCCAAGGAACCCCCGGAACCCCCCCCCCCCCCCTGGATCCGCCACTGATTTACAGTTTGTTGTTTATTTTGTATTACTAACAAGAAATCATACAGTACAGGCAACAGGAATGCAAAATAAGTGAGAGTGCATCTTCACTGCATGCACTCGTATTGTGAGAAAGCCCGCTTGAGTCCCGATTTTACGGTGTGTCTGAAAGGCATTGCTTCCCGCACAATAACCACTCCATCACCAGAATATTGGCAGACAGGAGACACCTGTTATGGTGTTGCTACAGTTGAAGCACTGGGTTTTAGAGTCCAGGGGCGTCACACACGGTACCACCAGTACCACCATGCTTGTACCACTTTTCGCACCGGATGCTGCGCCCAATTCATCCAAAAAACAAGCAATAAAAGAGCACTAAGGGGCCGTCCGTAAATATCGATGTTTTTTTAGAGACGATATTGGTGCGTCTGGGGGGGGAGGGGGTTTGAGCCATGTGCGTCTTTTCGAGCATCAGAAAAATATCGATGTAAATATCTGAAGTTTCGCCGATCCCTGCACGCGGACGTCTAAATGGCTATAAGAAATGTGAAACCAGCTTCCGTTCGCGGAGCTAAAACTCGCGACACAAGAACAAAATCAAAAATTGGAAGCTGTACGCCCATGGCGAATTTCAAGAGCAAAAGAATGAGCTATTGATTGTGGAAATCGGCCGAACGATGCCTGCAGGAGACCTTTTTCAAGACGTAGAGGCAGTGCGAACAAACACGGACGAACTCCACAAGAGTTTCCAGTCTTCACTGTCTGAACAAGGATTTGAAAAAATTCAAGCCCGAGCGTAGCCGCTTTGGCTACACCAGTACACGATGGCTGTGAGCACTGCAGCGCCAACCCGGTTCGCTCCCCCCAGGCGATGCAGCTATTGCGTGAGTGCGGCGGGATTTTCACGCCTACACCGGACCCTCAACATCCTGGGCACTTCATGAGCATCCAAAAATATTGATTCCATGATCTAGATGTACATGTGCGTCTTCTGGGGGGAGGGAGGGGGGTCAAGGGAGAGAAGCACCAATATCGTCTCTAAAAAAACATCGATATTTACGGACGGCCCCTAAAATGTGCCCTGTTCACCCAATAATCACTATTTACCAGTGTTGCAAAGAATAGCAAATCACGAACGAATATTCTAACAAATATGCACAGTACGAACGAATATTCTACTATTCTACCCATACAGACGAGCCCATTTCAGCACACTATGCTTCCTTGTTTATTTGAGCCAGCGCGTGCTAAGACATGACCACAGCTTTTGTGGAAAAGTCGAGAAAACGCGATTTGAATTCCGCGACAAAAAAATACAAAGTTCTCCTCGGTAGACTGGACTGTTCTGGATGTAACTCTTTGTTGCAAGTACATGAAAATTTATTCGTTTCAGTTTGGATTCCATGTTGCACTGAGTCTCCTAAAATGGATCGTCAACGATGTATCGAAGGAAGACCCTAATATACTTCGGAGCGGAAGAAGACGACATCCTCGGGTTCCATGCGCAGGATTAACTATTTTGTGGACTTGCGAAGGAAACAGAAGTCTCAAGTCTCTCAAACTCTCCAACACGGAGCTAGCTTTACGATCCGACATCACGGATTTCTACCGACTCGAAACTAAGCAAAGCGGACTGATACGATTCGAAACTAACCAGGAACTGCTACAAACTACGAAGAAGAACATAAGTATTTCTTGCGAAGGTGCAAGCTACAAACGGCGCGTAAGTCAAACTGGGCAGCATTAGCGGTAAGCGACAATATGTGGACGATGTCGTTTGCTGCTCAATTGCAGTGACTGTTGCACATACTACGATGCAAGAACGCAGCGAGCGTGCTGCGATGAGCGAATTTAGCCTTTGTACGGAAAGCTGTACACAAAGTGTAGCATTTCGAACATTCGACTTCTGACTCGCACGTTCGAATATTCTGTGCAGCGCAAAAAAAACAAGATATTCAATTATTCGAATATTCGCTGCAACACTGCTATTTACCCTCGGGCTTTTTTGATGCCATTCAACGAAACGTGTAGTGGATAGTCACTACTGGAGGATTCATAAAGGCACATTTGTCTGTTGTGAAGTCGGGGGTTTGCCCCGTACATTGAATTTTGCATGGCAAGACAAATTCGGAAAATGCAAAAATTGGTTACGGGGTAACTGTTTCCCATGCCCCCCCCCCCCCCCCTCCTACTATTTTGACCTGGCTAGAACCCTGCCATCATATCTTCATGCTAATGGTACTACTTGGGGACATACAGCTCTATTGCTTCCAACTGGACATTTGCTTCGTTAGTTGCTGCTCATCATGAGCAATTTGCTGCTAGCGGCCTAGCATTGCTTGCCAGCTCTTCGAGCTCTTGCATTACGAGACCATTTACTCGAAGTAACACATTGTCTCCAAAGCCAGTTCTTGTTGCCCTGACTGAGTGTGAATATGTGAGGGATTGGATGCTAAATAGTATTCCAACCAGTGATGCACACTAACCCAGTTTTCAAGAACGAATACTCTATCAAATACCAAATCTGGCAACGAACGAATATTCTAGTATTCGTTGAAATTGTTGACGGCCCAGAAACTTCTGCATTGCGTCTGCGCTTTTCGCCTGGGACACCTTCGCATCCGTGGCAGCTACAGCCGTCGAGCAAGTAACATGCCGTCGGGGAAGATTATCCCGCATTGAGCTCGTAGCCGAGCCATTGAACTCGAGCTTCGTCTCGCAGAGTTTGCATTCAATGTTTGCGCCTCCATCAACTTTCTCGGAGTGCTCCTAAACGGAGCTGCTACGACCAGCTGTGCCAGAATAATAATAATAATAATAATGACAGTTCGCATTTCACTCATTGCATGAGGTCAACGCATCTGTTAACAATTTCGAGCCAAGCAGCTCTATCAGAAGCAGATTGCACAGCATCCAGAAGCGACAGATTAATGCATTGTAAGTCTTTCTTGACAACGTCGATCCATCTCAGACGTGGTCGTTCTCGGGGTCGTCGTATGTCTGTTGTGTTGATTGACATTAGGAGGGCTTGGAACGAGGACGATTCTTCGCCTTCCCTCACTACATGGCCGAACCACAGCAGTCTCCGTTGCCTGCAGACTTGAGATAGTGGGGTCTGCTCGGTTCTGGCATACAGCGCTGTGTTCGAGATTCGTTGTGGGTACGTGATACCAATGATGGGACGTAGTTTTTTCCGGTGCCATACATTGACGACGTCGGTTAATGTTTGCGATAAGGTCCAAAGCGCACAATTATACAGCAAGACAGGCAATATCAGGCAGGAAAACATACACAGCCTGGAATTCAGGTTGTGGCGTTTCCATGGAATGCTTGCAAATGCCCGATTTGCAGCAGACACTCTGGCTGCTATGTCTTCTGCTGTGCCTAGCATACTCCCCAGCAGCTTCACCGATTTCCAGAAGCCATCACAAAAAACGAACTGGATGTCCAGGCGGTTCTTCAACGTGAAAGAGAGGGGTGAGTTGGACCGAACTAAAGTAGTAAAGAAGAAGGCATTATGGGTTCCCACTTCGCAACAGTACAGTGCACGCACTGTACTTGTACAACTACACGTGTCCTTTGCAACTGTACTACAGTGCCGGCACTGTATTGTTACTACTACTAACTGTTTGGCGCGCGCTCACACAGGCTGGATTCGTCGTCAAGTACACGTACGGTAACCGCTGTACTGTAATCTGTAGCAGCGGCCCTAGCTCTACTGCCGTTAGCGTAGGGTCCACATGTACTCGTACAAAACTAGCATGCATGCCACACATAGAACATGATTGTACAGCTCTTCAAACGAACTTTATTACTATTCGACTATTCGTGTGCATCACTGGTCATTCGTAACTTTTTGGCGGAAAAGAAGTTTGAGAATTGATTTGTCACTTACCTGCTTGCAGCTGCTTGGCCTCCTTCATAGAGAGTCAGAAAAAAACAGAGGCACAAATCACACATATTTGTTTAACATGCTCTCTCTCTCTCTCTCTCTCTCTCTCTCTCTCTCTCTCTCTCTCTCTCTCTCTCTCTCTCTCTCTCTCTCTCTCTCTCTCTCTCTCTCTCTCTCTCTCTCTCTCTCTCTCACTCTCTCTCTCTCTCTCCCTCTCTCTGTCTCTCTCTCTCCGTCTCTCTCTCTCTGTCTCTCTCTCTCTCTGTCTCTCTCTCTCTCTCTCTTCCTTAGTTCCGTATCGTATTTTCCGGAACATAAGCCGCAATTTAAGCACTCGTAATCCCCCCAAAAATAAATGTCGGTGTGGCTTCTACTACCATGGTGAAATGAACTGTGATATACAGGATAGATGTTGGTTTTTCGTGACAAAGATGACAGGACAAAAATGACAGGACAAAGATGATAGGACAAAAATGACAGGACAAAGATGAACCTAGAGCAGTAGAGGCAACGAGATGAACAAGGAACTCACGGCACAGAGTAAGCGCGAATTTTCTGGTTTCAGACCTTGTATTTTTTTGGAAAATATCAGGGCATTTCAATTTAGCACGGGGCACGCGGGATGGGCATAAAAAAGTGCATGGACCTCAGCTTTTCAGAGCAGTAAGAATTGTGAAAATCGGTTGAGTTTGAGCAAGAAGCTGAAAAAAATGCTAGATTGAGTTGTTGTGGCGTTTCCAAGGCATGATAGGAGAGTTTGGAAAGGACATGGAAGTGGCCCTGATGTGCCTATGGAGCTGAGAGTTGTCAGGATGGATTTGTTTGAAATTGTGACATGCATTATACAGTATGACAGGATATACAGGCAGGAGCTGTATAGGCTGAATTTTAATGGGGCCGAAAAGGATTTTGGCCTGCGGATGCTGAAAATTAAAACGTGCTGATAATTTGTAGACTTACAGTATCCAGTGTCCAGTATCACAGTAGTAGATATCAAACTCAACTCACTTACTAAAGCCACAAGTCGCCAAGATACTCAAGACAAGATGCAAACTGGAATAATTCACTGCAGCTGGTTGTCGTCGCAGTGATTTCCAAGTGTCCATTGTACACAGCACGTTCAGCATAGTGCTTGCATTTAGCTCCAGCTCTGGCAACAGAGCGACAGGCAAAGCCCTATCCATTTATCAGCTGGGCCATGCGGGTACGACTTTGCGTTTGACATGGGAGTGGCTCCACATTTTCCCCTATTACTAGTGGAGCAGTTATGCCGCGCCCATCATCATCATCCTAACCCCAGTTGTCGTTCAGGACCGTACATGTTCGTCGTATCTGTGTTGAAAGAGCAGCGGTTTTTACTGCTGAGCAGACGAGATGGCCCATCAGCTACGCGGGCCACACCGCATGGGAATCATTGTAATGTCACGATTCGCGAGTTGCGCAGACGTTGTTGGGCTTGGCAATTTGGCCAAAAGAGTTTGTTAGAAATCGTGGCCACTGGTATCAGAAATCTCGGGGGTAGTTCCGAATTCACCCCGCGTCTCAAGAGCAGACTTGATAGCGTAGCAGATCATCCGGAAGACCATTTATCAGTCGGGATGGTACTTGTTCATCGGATCACTGTTGGCAGAGCAGCTGTTGCTACCGCTGAGGGGACGAGACGCCCCAGCTGCTGCGCGGGAGTGCCGTGGGGAACATTCGACATACCAGGTAACCGACGGAGAGCAGTTTTCAAAGCCTCCGAATTCTGACTACCGACTACAAGGTGCATTGGTGCACCCAGCCCCGCAGGTTCTGACACCACCGTCGCCTGTGGGTGACATCGAATAGCGGCAGCAAATTGCTTTCTGTTGATATGGTTGGTCATTACTCACTACCTACCCTTGCCCCGCCGGGGGCAAGTCATTGTTGCGGGGTGCACGCACGCATTCATGCCGACGTATCTGTGCCTGCCATGCTATACTTTCTGTCCGGAAAATGTTGAACAAAAAATGCCTGCGTGCCCCTTTTGACGCCCGATCAGTACATTAAGGCTTGTGCTTCTATTTGTTCCGCACTCACCACCGGCCTATGAACTCGCTGGTCGACGCTTTGTTCTGGAGTCTAGTTTTGTTTGCATTGAACACCTCATTAACAATTCATTCGCGCGGCGGCCGCCTGCGTCAACTCTATGGCTCACTGGCCGAGAGTGAGATCGCACCTCGGTGTGGTGATAAGACGTGGTATATCTTGACGCTGTGCACATAACATTGCCTGGCCAGGACTACCATTATGCTGGCTGATAGCGTGGGCAACCCACCCTGTCCTGGATTGACCATCAGTCTGCTACCGTCGCCTCGTTCGGTTTTACCTGGGCCCTTCTCTTCTTGGGGAAACTTGGCCAACAAAGGGAATGTGCTCAAAGGCTCGCTGACAATGATGTGCAAGTTTGCGTCAACAACCATCACGCGTCCAACCAAGATAAATCGGACAGGAGGAAAGTGCTCTATGGCTTGGATCCCCAGCTTAAACGTGAAAACGCACCACATGCGATCCGGAGGCGCATTATGCATGCCTCAGCGCCGGGCAGGCTAGTAGCCAATAGAATGAGCTAACCTGGAACTGATGGCCAACGTTTGCGCTTTCCCAGGCCAGTATCAATGTTAGTGATTGGTATGTGGGCCCACGCCAGCATCTTAGAGCAGTGTGAGTGCGTAGTCCGCAGGTATGGCAGTGGTGAGGATATGGACGTGTGCTGTGTGCTGTACATATGTGGATGTGCACGTGGCAGGCGCGTATGCTATCGTGTGAAGTGATGGATGAGGTGCAGAAGTGCGGGTGGTGAGAGTTTGTGGCTACTGCTAGAGTGGCTAAGGCGAAAGCAGCCATCAGGGCTGGGCAAGATGGCCTGTTCGCTGGTACGGTATGTGCTTTTCTAGGCCGACACGCTGAATGCGGTGCTGGCGACGATCGGGCCAGTAAGTGGGCTCACACGAGCAGCTTGTGGTGGTCTACGGCCGTATATTCTCTGTCACATGAATACGAGGCGGTCGAGAGAACGCTGGTGCGTGCTTATGAACATGTGTGCGTGGTGGTGTGTGTCATTATGTTTTGGCTGCTCACTGACAACAGGTACTGGTACCTCCGCGTTGGGCGGAATGTCAGTTCGTTCCGAACTGGACTGGCAACGACTTGATCACCCCCACTGTTTCCTGTTGGAACAGGAATTGCGCCGTCGCAAGAACGCTTTGCAAAATCCATCAAGGCTCTGCTGGCCAGAGCTTGTCTTCTTTGGTCCATGGATGTCGCTGAGACTTCGCAGAAAAGTCTTCAAGTCAACCAATTCGCGATTCGAATCTGGAGGGGATCATCCTCAAAACATCGTTCTCCCCCTATGCGAAAAGAGGCGCTTGACGTTCACAAGCTTTGTTTTTGTCCCACTTGGGCAGCGCTGCGTTCAGCAACCAATGCCGCTCACACACCGACGGTCCGTGCAACCAGTTTTGGATGCTGCTTCCCACCGCATAGAGTCCACCGCCTGTGCACATGGTGCATGTAGCAGCCTGGTGTTTTCTCAAACCCAGGTCGAAATGTTTTCAGGGGGGGGGGGGGGGGGGAGAGCGTGCCCCCCCCCCCTCCCCTTTATACCCGCGCCATGTGATAGGGACCATTAGCAAGCCGTGAAACTGCAACGCGAAGGGGGAGCTGGGTTAGAGTCCCGTCCTGACCACGCGAAACATACTCGTGTTTGACGAGTTTGGAGGGGTCTACTCGCCATGACCGCAACAAGTGGGTTTTAGTCAAGTACGTGCGAATTCAACCATGATACGGAGAATAGCACCGTAAATCGCGCCTCTTTTGGTCTTTGCGATTTTCTTCAAATTTCAAAAATGTCTCACCCATTCTTGTTGGAATAAATACGATGGCGAAACGTACCAAACAACCAGTAGGACCATTGATTTTGCCATAACCGTTACTAACATGACACAGAACAGGATCGAGGGTAACCACAGTGCCAACATTTAGGCTTGTTCAAGACAAACTTCAGCTTCCTCGCTCATTTATTGTCTGCTGCTCCGAAACGTCCATTTTTTCAAATATTCTCACATGACAGACTCCATTGTGAAGTCTTTCGGAGAATGTTTTTTGCATGGACCTCGTGAACACAACTTTGCCGCACCCATCCATCGGCGATGTGGCTGTCATGGGGTTTCTTTCACTTTCATTCGGGTAAAAGTCAGTCAGGCTGAGAATTGTTCTCAAGGGAAAGTTCGCAAAAATAATTGCCAGTGAAAATATCAGAAAACTGTTTGAAACTGGAAAGCAGCTGACTCGCGTAGACGGGTTGTGAACGCGAGGAGCTAACCCTCCATCACAGCGTGCGTTCCGATGAACTCGTTCCCGTTGACGTTTCACGGCTTGCTAATGGTCCCTGATAGTTCACCCAGCCCCCCCCCCCCCGTTCAATCTCAGGCTGGCTATGACCATGGAGGCAATATCGTTATTTCGTACTCGGACCCCTCCCCCCACTCTGAAACAAACGCAGCTTGCTATGCTGGACGACGATAATCGCATGCATGTACAAGTACAATGTACAGTGTCGGTCGAGTTGTGATTTTGGCTCACACCCGCATCCCCCCCCCCCCCTCCCACTCCAAAACGAATGATGCTCTCGTTTCAGAGACGACAAAAAAACTTTTGCGACGACCCCTAACGAAAACTGTACAAGCTCACGCGCCCACAGACTCGTAGTACATGCCTCGTACGGTAGGACTCGTCATCTCCAGAAAAGTCAACAAAATGAAACATTCCGCCATGGCCAGACCAAGCGGAGTTACACTCTCTCGTGTTTATGTAGCCAGTGCAGGCTGTCGTAATAAAACGACTCATCCGTGTTCCATTCCCGTGCATGGTACATGCATGGTGCGACGGCACAATGACAGCTGTCGCAAATCACACTGAGTATTACACGTGGTTTTTGGTGATTCCTGGTTAGCTGCTAGCTTTTCCCTACTCGAAGATGTTGCCGC